AAATCGCTGGCGGTGGCTGGCAACTTTTTTCAAAAATGCTGGCGGGGAAAGAGTTAAAGTAAATAAAACCGAAATATTAATTCATACAAATTAGAAATAGACAAATTTTACTAAATTAAAAAAAACAAATCAAAATAAAATACTTGCTTAAATTAATTAAATAAAATGTCGATCTGATCAAAATAAAACATCTAAAAATGTAAAAGTAAAAATAATTTTAATATAAAAAAAAAATCTAAAAATATTTTAGTAAAATTAATGAAATCAAATGTAAAAGTAAAATAATTTTCATATAAAACAATCAAGATAAAACTATGCAAGAGGATTAGGGCCAAGCAATAATAAAAAATAAAACCATCTCGAGATTAAAGTCAATACATTTCAAGAAAAAAAACTGAAATGTTGAGAATAAACTCATTAAATTACGAGAAAAAATTAGTTACATTTCTAGAAAAAAGTCAAAATAAAATGTTGAGAATAAACTTGGGAAGTTTTCTTCTTCGTCGGCTCCTTTGTCATGCGGTGTGCCCCAAGGGTCTATTTTAGGAACTGTCCCACTGTAAAACCAAGGGCTTTTTCAGCTGCGGAAACTAAACTTTGGAATAGGTTGCCTGTAAATGTGAGACTTGCTCCTTCACTAGCCAGTCTTAAGTCTGTTCTCAAATCTTATTTGTTTTCTCTGGCTTTTGATTAATGTCAGTTTAAGGGTTGATGTCAAATTGCTCTGATTCTATTTTAATGTGTTTATTTTTCATATGATGCATGTTTTCTTTTAATGCTTTTTATATACTGTGTTTTGTTGTACAGCACTTTGGGGCAACTCTGTTGCTTTTAAATGTGCTATAGAAATTAATTTTGACTTGACTTAAATTACAAGAAAAAAGTAATTAAATTCCGTGTCAGGTTCATTTAATCTTGTTGGACGTGGTCAAACAGCGTCTGCAGTGGCGGAGGTCGGAGAGTAATGCACGTGGATGTAGCATGTAACTTTTTTCTTTTTTTTCTCGTTGAGTTTATTCTCAACATTTAATTTAGACTTTTTTTCTCGAAATGTAACGTTTTTTTTTTACGAATTCGAAATGTATACTTTTTTCCCGTAATTTAACGAGTTTATTCTCTACATTTTATTTCGACTTTTTTCTCGAAATCTAACGAGTTTTTTCTCGAAATTTAATGACTTTAATCTCAAGATGATGTTATTTTTTTTATCACTGCTTGGCCTTAATCCTCTTCCGTATAAAACACTCAAATGAATTAAATCATAAAAATATGTAACATGAAAATAATGTTAAACTAAAAAAACTGTTTAGTCACTACTAATACTAGTAAAATCTGATTATTTTTGACAAAATTTTCAACACTCCATTCACAAAATGTACATGAAAAAGTTAAATAAAAAATGTCTCTATATGAGGCTGATGTTGTTCCTTTTTGACTAGTCACAGCACAACTACTTTATGATTACCATATGATTTTCTGTTTGTGTGCTTTCAGCCTGAAGGACTTAATGAATCTGAATGAATGGCTCATGAATATTAATTACATTCAGCCAGTTGGAAAAAATGATTTGTTGAAACGCATGAAAGGATGTTGTCTTCTGCTAGTCAGTCAGCCAATCAGGGAATCCTACTACGAATAATCTGTGGCTCATGAATATTTTTTAGGTTAAAAGTCTGGACATATTAATTAATATTCATAAGCCTTCACAATAGTAGGAATAGCAATGTCACTACTGATTATTTTTTTGTAAAATAAGTTATTTCTTCCAGGATTAAGTGAATAATTCATCCAGCGTGAGACAGTTTGAGGGAGTTGATCGTACCTGGGTATGCCGGGCGGCAGAGCGGGCGGCACGCGGGCGGGGCGAGATGGCACCTGAGGGGGCGGAGCCTCCAGCGAGCCACTCCCAAACACATTAGCGTTGACTGGAGGAGGGCCGGGCCTGGATGGAACGGGCGGAGCTCCGAACGCAGGGGAGGGGTTAAGAGGAGGCGGGGCCGGAGGGCCGGGGGTGGGGCCTCGCACTGCAGGGGGGCGACCAGGGGGCGGAGCCGTGCCTGAGGATGGTTTATGCTGCGATGGAGGACTGACAGAGAGAGAAAGACATGACTTAAATGTCTTAAACATCATTTTATAATGCAAATATTAAAATAAAACATTCACTAAAAATTTTAAACAACACACAGGTATTATACATTATATATACATATATATATATATATATGTGTGTGTGTGTGTACGACGGGTCGTTGTGGATCCAGGTGTCGTCCACAGGTGGAGGAACAGGTACAGAAACAGTGCTGGTGCTGATGTCTCCGATGATGTGCAGCGCTTCTTTGAGCGCGTGATACATGCGGAGCATCTCGTCGCGCCGCTGCGCCTGTTCGGCCGACTCCTCCATCAGACTGCTCTGATCGCCAGACGAGTACAGAAACGCCAGCAGCTCCGAGTAGATGAACTCCTTCGCCTGACGCACACACAGACCAGATCA